TTTTTTTTTTTAAATTATAAAATTTTAGCATCTCAGTGGTGGTGATCAGGCATCGATTATTGTGGTTGGCGTCTAATTTTTCATGAAATTGGTCATATTACTAAATAATTTTGTTTGATGGAGATAATGTACACCACCTACTTAGTGTTGATTGATTATTGATTTCCTCTAATTATGTTCTAGGGAAGAACTTTGTATACTAATTAAATTGATTAGTAAAGTCATTTAAGTGATCTATTTCTATTCCATTTGAGGGGTTTTTCCATACTGAAGGTTTGGTGTTATTTATTCTCATTATTTATTTGATTAATTCAGTTGTGTATGTGCTCGTGGTGTAGTGTGTTATTGGCTTACTTTTTCCAACACTTAAGTGCATCTCTTAAGTAAAATGTAGGTAAAGACAATTTTGTTGAATTAAGACTGATGACATTGCAAGGCTTATGTTTTGATGATGCTCATTCAACATTTTATCACAAACTTACAAAGTACGGGCATGAATTTCTTTCTGTTTTCTGATTCCGAAAAAGACAAATAAGGAATCTGTTGCCTATTTTATATAACATTTCTTAAAAAAAGCGTGGATGATAAAAATAGATCCTTAGTTTATGTTTAGGATAGTTTTCTATCTGCTTTACCATCATATTTCTATTTGGGGAACTGTTTTCTAAAAACTTCTATGGTGCAAAACTTTGTTTTTTTTTTCAATCTAACCTGTAAAATATGGTGGATGTAAGAAAAAGTTGTCTGATTTTTTTTGAAAAAATATATATATTTATAATTCTCATAATAATTTCATAATAATTTCTAAGAAATTGTTTTCTCCAACATAGCTTTATAACTACCTTTTTAAAAAATTGCAGCTACCTCAAACATCCTGAGTCTTAGATAACATACAAATATGATGGTTATTAAATGACCAAAAACCTCATATTTGTGTTAAAAGATTAATAATTGAAAAGTGAATAAGGGAATGCACATGAATATGTGCTAGGCTTAAATGTGATAAAAAATATTGGATAATAAAACTTTAAATTGCAAATAAAAAGAAAGGAGGGGCAAGTTTTGACTGTCCATATTTGAGTTATGGTGGAAGATACCCTTACTTAATAAGAATTCACCTAAAATAGAGTAAAAAAACTCACAAACATTATCGATTTGCAAGAACTGAATTGGAGTTTTGAATTGGGTCAAAATGTAGTTGTAGAAGTTTTGAAAAGTGACAGCAACTTCCAATTTGTCTTTTAAAATATAGACTTACATCATTCGAGTGTGGTCATCAATCAAAGTAAGGAAGCACAATTTATTTGTGTAGTTGGCAGTGCAAGAGGTTCCTCATATGTCATTGTGAATGAGTAAAAAAAGAGTGGAAGGTGTGTAAGTGTGAGGTGGGTAATGAAGCCGATAATGTTTGGCTAACAGATATGTCTCACACTTGAAACTAGAAAGACTTTGATTCGAAAATATCAATGAATACAAATGTTTTAAAAATTGGAAACTAAGGTAACACAAATGATAATGCAACAATATAATGGAACATTTAGTGACTTGAGATAGGTTGCAATTACTGTCGTATGACATCGTTCTCCGTTTTCTCTTGGAAGTAGTAGAGTCCAGCTAACCCGCTTAACAGTTTAAATCATCCTCCCTGAATGATGATCCTGAAAGACACAAACATCAATAGAAAAATGTACACCGCAATCAATGTCGTGTTTCAACTTACTGACAGATAAAAGGTACTTTAACAATGGTACATGTAACACAGATTCTAGAGTTAAAACCGGTCGTTAGAACAACAAACTCTTTCCGGCAATGGAATTATATGAGTCATCCGCAATTCTGAGTGTATCATTTCCAGAGCATGGATAGTATGTCGAGAAAGCTTGTGAGCATCCAATCATATGGGTCGTGATACTTGAATCAATGATCTACGAACTAGAAGAAGAAAAAGACGAATTGATTGGATCCAAGTAGTTTGATTAAAAGCTTCATCTGACTTTGCCAAGAGTTGGAGCATTTTGAAATGTTCTGGGTAGGAGCTGGTTGAACCTTGGTAGAATCTGATGTCGTAGTAAAACCATTGGCAGCAAAAGATTTGGCTGAGGATTTGTATGTCGATTTTCATTGGAGCTTCCAACACTTGTCACAAGTGTGGCTGGGTTTGTGACAGTAATCATAAGTGGGGTGGCTTGCCTGAGAAGGAAGAGGTTCCTGACCAAGAATATGGCCTTGACCTTTGTCACTATTAGATATCAAGGTGGACGATTCGGTTGAAGGGATGGAAAAATCGAGCATGACAAGTTTCCCGCTCTCTTCGTGGCGGATCTAGGTGAAAGCAGCGCAAGCGAAAGGAAGAGGTTCCCAGCCAAAAATACGGCCCTGGCCTTTGTCAATGTCTTTGTTGAGGGCTGTTAGAAATTGGAACATCTGATCCTTTTCTACGAGTTCCTGGAAGAAAGAAAGGTCAATTCAAGCGTTCCAAATGTAGTCGTAGTATAGATCAAATTCCATCTATAGTGCAACCAGATCATTGTAATGCTGAGTCGCGGTCTTTGATCCCTGTTTTGCCTCTCGGAACTTCTTAGACACCACATAGAGTTGGCTGAAATTTCATAAATCTGAGTAGATATCATGGATTGTCATTCAGAGGGCACTAGCGGAAGGGAGGAACATATATGTACGATTAATCGACGGTTACATGGAGTTGATCAGGCACGACATGAACATGGAGTTCTCCATTTTCCAAGCTCCATATGTTGGGTCAGTTTTTTGAGGCCCACGGATCATGCCTATGAGGTGACCGAATTTCCCGCATTCTTTGATGAATAAGGACATCACTTGGGACTATTGGAGAAAAAATGTCGTTCAGATTGTGAATTGTGATCCAGAAGTTCATGTTGGTTTTTGGTACTCCGGTTTGATTAAAGATTGGAGTTAAACCTCCATTGGAATCAAGAAAGCTTTCTGAGAATGGCTCAGTGTTGAAGGAGTCCTCCATGACTCTGATTGAGCCAAAAAAAAAATTGGTTGGGACGGATACAAAAAAAAAAAGTAATTCGGCCAATTGCAGGAGAGAGATCAGTCGTCAGAGACAACAGCAGGGATGGCTGACGAGAGGCTCTGCACCTACAGGGAGGAGGTCGACGGTTGCCAAGGAGGTCAATGGTCTTAGGGGACAGCAGGGAAAGGCCGACGACTAGCAGTTCCTAGGAGAGACCCTGCAGGGAAGTCCGACGGTGGTTGGGATCTAATGGGTTCCCTGTTCTAATATCATGTTGAAATATTGGAGCAGAGCAGCATATCCTATTGATAGAAAGATGCAGATATAAACTCAATTACAATAGACACTCATAAAGAAAGAAATAAAAAAAAATAAAGGGAAATATGAAAGAAATAAAAACAGAATAAAGAGAAATAGAGAAACAAATAAAAGAAAATATGCATTATTATTTCAATACTCTAATACTATAATAGCTGTTATTATTTCAATACTCTAATACTATACATGAACTTTATTGTTGATTTAGATGAAAGACATACAATGGTGCCATCTTATCACTTGAGCGATGAGGAGTCTGAAGAATTAATTGTAAATTCGATAATACTTATATTGCAGTGCATAAAACATCAACTTTGATAATTAGTTGTCATATCTACTATGGTGTTCAAAGTTTGTTTAAGCATACTGATAAAATATCGAATATTGAGGTTTCATGATGAAAGCAAAATAAAATAAAAGTTATGCAAACCGCATGAGTAAAAGCTTGATAAAAACGTTTAGATGTCTCATGCACTATCAACTAATATTGATGAAGAAAGACGAAAAAAATAATTACCAACTTAACGTTTTATAAAAGATCGCCAATATTTGAAGCATGATATTAATGAGGGAACACTTGTTCCTTCCATTGAAGATCGTTGTAACCTTCAAATCTTCCCTTGAGAAGTGAACTTAGCTTTAATACCAATTGAATGCTTACGGTTATGAGTTTTGATAGGATGGAATGTCTTATGGAAAGTTTATGACTACATTTGGGTTGAAGTGGGTGGCCTTTGCTAGGATTCAAAGAGGTGGCTGAAAGATGGGAGTTTGTAATGGCTTATGTGGCGGGTTATGGAAGAGAAAACAGCACAAATTCCATCAAAAAGAGAAAAACTTTAATTCAATAGCAAACAAAGAATGACAAATGTTTTTATTATTCAACGATTAGTAAGAGTTAAAAAAAATACTTCTCTCTCTCTCTCTCTCTATATATATATATAAAGAGACACAGAAATGATATGTGAAGCATGATGCAGAAAGTCATAATTTGTCATAAAGTTGCTGATGAGAAACTTAAAACTCAAAATTTCCCAGCAAAATTATCGGGCATATACAAAAGAAAAAATGTGCAACATTGAACAGTTTAATATAAGCTAAGAAAACAAAATATATCAAAACGACTAGAAAATCAAAACTCTGAGGAGATTGAAGTTTTAAGAAAGATTTATATCAAATCCATTCTTCATTAAACTATCAAGCACCAAATGAACAAGAAGGAAGAAACCTCCACTTCATAAGATTTCACATTTCAGCTGTTCTACTCCAAGGGAAAAATAGAAAAAAGAAAAGGATAAGGGATTTCTCAAACCATAAATTAATTGGTTACCGATAGAAGACAGCATACCGGGCCAAAAATTCAGAACACATTATACCTTCCGCCTCCAACATCTAAGCCACAATTCTCTCAAATTTATCGGCATCCTTTCAGCAATAAATTCCCTATCCTTCAACCTGGAACGCGGATCAATCAAAACTGGAGCTCAAGGCATGGCTCTCGGATCCGTTCCATGCTGCCAAACATACACAAGCTCGTCCCAGCCTGTACTAGCAAGAAGCCCCTCAACAAGCACGCTCATGTCCACACCAACCGCGAACTCCGTATGGTGGTCGTACCGCGCGAGCAGTGCGTCCTCCGCACGAAAATCCCATGCGCAGACGGTCATGTCATAGGAGCACGACAGAAGCAGGTTCTCCCGATGCGGCGAGAACTTGATCCGCCTCACAGCATACCCATGGCCAGCAAGCGTAGCCATCGGCGCGCGGGAAGCGCGAACATCCCAAACACGAATTGTCTTATCAACCGAAGCGGTAGCGAGTAAACAGTCATCATATTTATTCCAGTCACAGCAAAGAATCTCATGGTCATGAGCAGGGATAACAAGTGACGAACCCGGATCGCGAACGTCCCATACGCGGGCCGTACAATCGCCGGAGGCCGAAGCAAATACATCAGCATGGCGAGGGCTCCAGGCGACGGAATACACGCAGTACGCGTGTTCGCGGAAGGTGCGGAGAGAAGCGGGGCGATCGAGTGTCCAGAGCTTGAGCGAATCGTCCCAGGATGCTGAGACGAAGCTGTCACGGCGAACGGGATTCCAATCGACGGCATGAACCTCGCGGGCGTGTTCTTTGAGGGATCGAATAGGATTGGCTGAAGGGGGAAGAGC